TGCAAAACCATCGTTTGAAGCAGATATTAGATAGAGATAGGGATTATTTTCATAAAATGTATTATTGAAACATGCAGGGACACATTTGTTCTGATGATTGCTGAAATTATTTATTATAAAACTACAAATTACTTGACTGCAGGGTGATATAGAGTGGTGATGAGACGATGTGAAGTAGAGAACCATATATTAAGTATTGTAAGTATAATAGTAAGTACATTTCTAACAGCGGGATATTGTGATACTTTTCTAGTTTCAATATACCGTGCAAACAAGCTGCGCTGGCATGTAAATACATGCATAAAGATTGAAACTGTACTGTGGTCAATGTTTGGAGGACTAACAGTAGTTTACTGGGTTTGTCAGACACATGAACTCACTTCAGCGCTGCTGGTTTTGGCTCCAGGGCTCCAACAATCCGTGGTCAGAAACATCTCACTCCCCTTCACACATGAGCTTTAACACACACACACACACACACACACACACACACACACACACACAAAGACACACAGAATGGTTCTGTCCACATATCCAGTGTCTCTATATTAAAACCTGGAAGGACATGACCCTTTAGGAAAACACATACAGTAACACGCTGGACATTCAGGACTCATATTGCGTGCTCACGTCCAATCACTGATGTTTCTCTACAGACCTCAAAGTAAATAAGAGAAGGAGTTATACAAATATACACACTCACACACACACACACACACACACACTCACATAAGGGGTACCCAGCCAGTGAATGTGTGAAATGTAGCGCACTGTTGAACCACTTCCCCCTGCAGATCAAAAGAGAGAGGAATGAAAAACAAAAAAGGAAAAACAGGCAGAAAATGAAAAAGGGAGAGATACAAAACACAAGTGTGAGGAGAGGGAGAGAGAGACAACAAACTTTGGTTTTAAAGTTTTAATTAAAATTGGCTCTCAGTGGAGTTTAAACCTCCGCCAATGGCCAGCAGTCCTTCACATTGTTGTCTAGTTCTTAAAAGAGAAAGGGAAGTGGTCTGATGAACTAAATGATTTATTTGTCATAAAAAATCACTGGAGATGAAAACCAATGAAGCATATTTCTCTAGAGAAATACAAGAAAAGCTACAGGCAAACAACTAATGATCGCTCCTCTTTAGAAATATTAAAATGAGCTAGCTTGAGATTATTATTTGGAGTACATCAAATTCTACAGACACCTCTCGGGATCAGTGCATCATGGGAGTTCGTCCGCAGTCCACATGCATACGTTTATAGCAACATAACTAAGAAATGGATCAGGGCTAACCTGACTCAGCATTAACTGTGGGGAGAGTTTAAAGCCGAAGCTTTGAGGGTGTCTACCTCCTGAAATGTGAACCTCTTGCACCGCAGCTACAGAAAATATAAAAAGAAAGATCTACTGCTCGATTTCTAGAAAATGTGTCTTGTGAACAGAGCTGTGAAACCTGCATTAAAACCTCCAGCCAAAGTATCTGGCCGGACATGAGAAGGTGGAACAGGATCAGAAGAAAACACGTTTATTGAAAGCAGCTGAAGTCTGGACAGGGGAATATGTTTTCTAGTCCCTGTGTGTGTTCAACATGAAACAAACAGTGAAACGTTAACTCCACCACCCACCCCCGTAACCGTGCACTCGAGAATCCGAGCACAACAAAGGTGTAAAACTGACTCGTGCTGGCTGAGATGTTTTCTGGATGTCGAGCATGTTGACAGACGTGTGATTTCACAGTGAAATGCGCTGTTTTAGTTTTCCTCACCGAAGGACGTGAAGGTTTTAAAAGGTCTCCAATCCCGAACATAAAAGAATGTATGTGTAGAGGAATTGTTTCTTCCAGCAGGAGTCTGAGGTGACAAAGTCGTATGTGGTGTTAATGACGCTGCAGAGAGTCGGACCACACATGGCGATCTCTCTCTCTCTCTTTCTCTCTCTTTTCATCTCTTCATCATCTTTGGATGAAAGCTTCCTCTTCAAGTCACGGCCGAGGTGACAACGAAGAAGTCAGCTGGTCGTGTGTGCGACATCACGTGTTAACGGTCGGATATATTAACTCCGTGGCCACCCCACTGTTGGGCTGAGTTTTTACGAGTGTGGAAATCAAGCGCTCATCTTTGAAGCACAGTCGGTTCCGTTTATGGTTTTCATGGGAGGCCCCTCTTCAACAGCTGTCCTTATATATGATAGATCTGAAAATGTCAGTGATTACTTGTTTTCTTGTGAGAGAGAACTTCAGCCACATTCATTTAAAGTCAGTCTGAACATATAGAGTAAAGTGCAGAACGTGTTTGGAATTGTTCAATAGCTTGATTAACATTGATTTTTGTGGCCGATATAGATATTCTGTGCTCAGTGTGAAAAATTAGCAATGATTCCCAAGATGTCATGATCAAACCCTTATGATAAAGAAATGTTATTGAGGCTTGATATTTTAGTTTAACCATAAACTATAAATAAAAAGTAAAAACAAACGTAACAGCTCAGAAAGACCTCAACGGA